ACGCGGCGCGGCCGGGACTGGAATGCCGAGTTCCAGCTGGCGTGGGAGATGGAGGACAGCACAATCTCGCAGGCGGAGGTTCGCATGGAGCAGCTGCGCCGCGTCGAACGCGAGTTTGTAGCCGAGGCCACGCAGACTGTGAAGCAAATTGTGATGCTTGACGACGACGGGCCGCGGGAGCTTCCCAAGTTCCTGCAGTGCTACCGCGTAGACAACATATTTTTCCGCCTCCTACCGGACAGTCGCTCGGGACGCAACTACGTGGCGTCACTTCGCGGTGTGCTGCAAAGCCGCACTCGCCTCTTGGCTGTGCCGCTATCCAGTATGTTTTTTTACAGGGGTATGCCTGTGCTGGCGCAGGCTCTTGTCCCGATGTCGCGGGAGCCAACGCGACTGTACGGCGCGGACTCCGTCAACAATCAGGAGGTGGAGGCGGAGATCTTGCACATGGCGGAGGCTCTGAACATTCCTTTTCCCGACGGCACCCTGGAGGTGTATGAAGGCTTAGACGGTCGCTTTTATTTGACCAATTCAAACTCCACGCTAACACCCTTGTTTGTGGACGACACAATTATGAAGCGGCAGGAGATGCTGCGGGTTTGCGAACACGTGACGGACGGTCACGAGGACACCGTTGCGGTGCTCAACAAGGCGGAGGTGCTGGACGCTGTTGTGGGGTTTTGTATGGACAGCGGAGCTCCCACAGTCAGCGACCGTCTCAAAACCGTGTGTGAGTATTTGCATGGGTTTGGTGTCAATATGTGTTTGCTAAAGCAGGTCATTCAGAAGATTGCGTCGTCCGGGGCGTACGACGCGGCCAGCGTGGGGAAAGTTAAGGAGTTGCTCTTCATGGAGATGCTGGCGCGCTCGGTAAAGCAGGAGTTCTACTTGGAGGTGCAGGGGAAGCGAGTGGCCTACGACGATGAGGTGCTGAGTGCAACGCTCTCCAAGCACATGGGCGAGGCCTTCACGAGCGTCGATGTATTCCAGAGCCGCTTCCTGGAGGTGGTGGCAAAGAAGTACGGTGTTATCGACGAGGACAACGACATCATTAACGGCCTCACTGCTGTGCGGCTGAGCCGAAAGGCTGACATCGTGTCACGCATCTGCGCCCTGCTGGGGGTCACCATTGAAAAAGCAGGCGGAAAACAATCCACAATGCGGTGGCACGTGAATGTAAACGCGCGTGTTCTTCCGCAGCTGATTCACCCCAAACAAGTGCGTCTTCTCGCTGAGAAGTATCGCACCATCATGACGCAAAACAGCCACCGCTACGCATTTTGCTTCCCCATTCGTTGGAAGGTGGCTTGCTGGGAAGGCCAGTACGACGAGGCTTTGGACCTCGTGCACGCAACGGCTATTGCGCAGCGAGACCGGTACGGGGAGGACGCCATCGTTTCCCTTCACTCACGGCGGAGCGTATGCGAAGTTTGTTTTGCGACGATGCAAAAGAGCTGTATTGCGGAGGGGAGAAGTTTATTTCCTGGGGTGATGCGGGGTTTTGAGGCCTTGACGTGCCCCATGACGCAAGGCCGACGCCACATTGAGTACGGCTTTTGGCTCCTTCGTGTTGCCGTGGTGTACCAGCAAGACGACCTTGTGACGTACCGTAGCTGCGTGGAGGAAGCCGTGCATCACTTCTACCGTGCCATTGAAAAACTACCTGCGTATTTAAAGAGTGAGCATGGCTCCTGGCTGCATCTTCAGCCGTACAAGGGGCTGCTGCAGTGTAAGCGGCTCCTCCCGTCCTGCTCCGTCAACACCAAGGAGCTGGTGGAGCGTTCTATTGAGTTAAGTACTATTGGCTGGGCCTCGGACTTCTTCATGCTATATTTGTGGGACTTGAGCCTGCAGCTTGAGGCTGAGGGGCGCTACGAGGACGCCATTCGGGTTCTTCTTACCGCCACCACGGTGAGCAAGAAGAAGCCAACTGTATCCTTTGACCTGCCTGCACTGCTGATGGACGGTGCCTACATCTACCGCTCCTGGGACCCGGAAAAGTACGCCGAGCACTGCCTAACCTTGATGCGGGAGGCGGTGGACAAGGCTGGGGAGCTGTTTGGGCCGCACAGCAGGGAGTACGCCGTGATGCTAAGCAACAAGGGTGCTGTTGAGATTGAGCTGAACCGCCTGAGTAACGCAGGGGAGACACTTAAGAAGGCGGGTGTCGTCTTTGAGGTGGCAGGGGTGCTGAAGGACGACCCCGACTACAAGGCATACCTTGACAACCTGGCTTATCTTGAGCAACGTCTTGCAGCGCGGCCGCTGGTGCGACGCGGATTCCTTCGTCGCTACCCTTTTCTTGCCTCTCGATCGGAGGATTTCCCCTTCAACGATGTGCGGCCCCTCGAGGACGACGTTTTCGTTGGCCTGGCTCACAAGCGGGCGCGGATGGTGGGTGGAACCGCCGACGCGAAGCAGCTGGAGCAAAAAATGAGAGAGCGGATATGGGAGCTGCTTCGCTTCGTTCAGGAGGGAGATGTGCTGAAGCGGTACCCCTTTTTGCCCGCCGTGATTAACGGTGTGCCCGCCGCCAGTCTAAGGCTCGACGACGATGCGCTCTTTGCCGAGTTTGCCCGTCTCCTGGACAAGAGTAAAGATGCCAGCGAGAGGAAGGAGGCGGAGTCACGGGTGCGGGAGTACGTTGTCAAGAAGGCGGAGGATGCCGCACTACAGCGGGCCTACATGGAACGCCAGGATGAGGAATTTAACGAGGCCCACGAGGGATATGTAAACTTGATGTATCCCATCCCCTGGCTGTATGTCTTGGAGGATGAGCGGTTTAACGTGCTGACGGATCAACTCCAGAAGTGTGTGAACACGCAGGCACAGACGGCACACATTCAGGCCATGCAAGAAAAGGTGGCGGAGCGTGTGGCGGAGATTGAGGCAGAGGCGTTCCGCTGGCGCGGGGAACTTTCTAAGTGGTTGTCCCCCTCAAAGCTCTACACTGTCCCCGTAAAGGACTTAACAGAGGACATGCCGCTGCGTGATCTTCTACGTTTGCGGCAATTGCCGGAGTCACGTGACGAGGTTTCCGTGGCCACCATTGACGCTCTCATACGGGACAAATTGGGTGCCCTCTGGACACGGGCGTCCATCACCCGCTTGTGCCTTGCCGTAGATGACGAGGAGCTGCACAGGCAGTTTCCGTTTCTCGCGGAGATGCCGCACCACCAACGCCTTTCAACACTGACGGTGTACGAGGATCCAACCGTGTCGAGCCTCGTCATGCGTCTGCGTAGAGAGGGTGGTGACAGCCATCTGCAGACGGAGATGATTGGCGCCATAAAAGACCTTGCGGCACGCCGCCGTGACGCCAGGGAGCTAAGAAAGTGGTACTACGATATTGACTCCGTTGTGTCTGGAGAGATTTCACTGGAGAGTGTTCCAAAGGTGCGGGACGACTACTACGTGCAGCTTTGGCAAAAGCGGAATATCGTTCAGGCACAGGAGGAGGAGAACTCGCCGCTGATGGTGACGCTGATGCGTCAGATGGAGCATCGCATTGTACAGGTGAATTCCTGGATGCGCAAAGTAAGCGCCAACGGTTTTCGGCGTCGGCTACGCTTGGAAGCAAAGTACCCGTTTGTTGACCGCCGCCATCATGGCTACACGCTGGAGATTCTTGACATTGAGGACGATGCGGAGTTTATGTCAATTGTGGAACAAAGGCGACAGCTGCTCGGCTCACCAGACGCCTTGCATGGTCAGATTCACAGCCTCAGCAGCCAGGCCAACAAGAGAGTGGCGATGATCGCTTCGCAGCGGGTACGGCTTGCTGAGAAAATGAAAAAAAAATACCCGTTCATTCCGAGCCGCTTGGAGGGGGTCGAGACGCTGTCTATCTGCCTGGAAGAGAACGAAACGTTCGCGGAACGAGCGGCGTACCACAACCGCCTTCGTGCATCGGGAAGTGGCGAGAATGAGGTGCGCTGTCGTCGGCTGGTGCGCGAGATGGAGAGCATCGCAATTGCCACTGCACGTGAAATAGGTGTCCGGAATTGGCGGCATTCCATCGAAGCCGAGGACCTGCTTGAGCGGTACCCGTTTCTCCCGGAGGAGCCGGTGCGTGGTGTTCTGCTTTGCGACATGCGTCCGGTGCAGCAGCCGGCGTTCCGTGAGCTCTCCAACAAGCTGGACGAGCTGCGCCGGGATCCGCCACGCAATGCGACAGCGATTCGCGCGATGGAAGAGCAGATGACCGCGCTGGTGGTGCGGCTGGCCGAGGAGCGCGCGGAGGCGGCGAAGAATACGCAGGAGCAGTTCCCGTTCCTCCCACGACGTGTGCTAGGCGTGCGCCTCGACGAGCTTCCGTTGCACGAGGATGAGCTATTTGCCGCCGCCGCCAGTAAGGGGGCGCAGCGTAAGGAGTCGCTCCTCCAGGCCAGGGCGCTGCAGCTGGTCGTGTCCCACAACCTGAACGAGTCTCAGCTTGCGGACAACGATGATGCGGTGCTCTCGCAGCATCCGTTTCTGTTGTACACCTCGCGGAAGTGCTTTCCACTGCGCCACCTGCCTCTGGACGATGACGTCCTGTTCACGGACAGACTTCGTGAGTACAACGGTCTTTTGCAGAAGCCCACGGTGGATGAGGATGCTGCGGCGATCGCGCGCTTTCGCCTGGTGTCCCGAGCGGACATTCTTGCTCTGAAGGAGATTGAAAAGGTTGAGCGTATCAAACAAACATTTGAGGCCTTGCAGCCACTGTCATTGGAGGATCTTCGTCATCTGCAAGACCACCGGGGGTTTCAAACGTACACGGACGACGGGGCTGGCAATCTCTCCCCGGTGCAACTTGAAGACGCGAAGCGCAGTCTCATAGACAGCCGCAAGGACCGTGCCACACGACTGCAGGAGGTAGACGCTATTCGAAAGATATACCCCATCCTTGGTCGTGATATCGACCCCAGCATCATGGAAAACCCCGTCATTGCCAAGCTTGTTGTCGACCGCAACGAGCTGTTGGACAATGCTGAAAACGACGAAGACAAGTTGGATCAGCTTGAAAAGGAAATATCACGGCATGCGTCACAGTACAAACGGCAGCTAAAAGGAGATACCATTGCGGTAGAGCAGAAGCACAGCCCATGCAAAGAGCAGCTTGTGGACTACTACGTGGTTGACACAGAAGAGGACGTGCTTGACGATGCGTACTACCAGGAGCTGGTGTCACAGTACAGCTCCGTCGAGCAAAGCCACATTCCGGAAAGTCAGCAGCTACTACAACGACTTGCAACACAAATAGAAACACGGAAAAAACAGATAGCAGAGGACAATACCAAGTTAGCTGAGTACAACAAAAAGGCCGAAGCAAGAGCAGCAGAAAGGTTTCCACTTTTAAACACATCTGTAAGGGGAATTCCCGTCACTGAACTCTACCTTGAAAACGACGCCACCGTACAGCAGCTAGAAGAAAGCAGAAGTACAAAAAGCCCGACAGATGAAGAAAGCCCCACAAAAATCACCAACAAAATAAGCGCCCGTGCGCAGGCGATAGCGAAAGCGGTGCTCGAGCAGGAGGAGAGTCTGGCTGCGGCGCTCCCTTTTTTGGGGAGGAGCGTGAAGGGGGTCCCTCTGCGGGAGTTGGCCCTGATGTCCGATCCCGGCTTTGCGGTGTTGGCGGAGCAGCATGCGCAGGCGTCTTCTGGTGATGCGGCGGAGCGTTCGCGCCTCGAGCAGGACATTTTGGATCAGGCGGGGCGTGTAGCACGTGAGGTACGGGTGGCGCGGCGGCTTGACGCTGTGCGCGGCGAGGACCTGCTTGAGCGGTACCCGTTTCTCCCGGAGGAGCCGGTGCGCGACGTTCTGCTTGGCGAAATGCGTCCGGTGCAGCAGCCGGCGTTCCGTGAGCTCTCCAACAAGCTGGACGAGCTGCGCCGGGATCCGTCACGCAATGCGGCAGCGATTCGCGCGATGGAAGAGC